GGCCCAGGTTTAAAGAAGGCCCCAGGTTTTCCAACTTCTGACTTTCCGGCAACACCAATAGGATTTTTCAAAACTTTTTTTAAATTTTTTTGGGCCAATAAAATTCTTTTGTAAATTCTAAAACAAGGTTTTTGTAATTTCCAAGGGTGACCCCTGATGACGTATTATGAGCTATATTTAATATCTAAAAGGTCTAAAACCGGGTTGGAACCACTAACCTGTCGTATAATTTCCCCGGCCCTCGTCCCCCTTACCAGCCCTCAGGGGCATAAAAAATAATAAATTTTTAATTTTCCTTACTTGACGGGTGACCCAAAGAGGATTTACCCAGGGCCCTGTTTAAAAAAAAGCAAATTTTTAACAAGGGCCCTTTACGTTTTTTCCCCCCGGGAAGGACACCCCCGGGGCAGGAAAAACAGAGACATCTGGCAATCCTCCCAACCTGGGAATGGGAAGGTTTTGATCGGGTCTTTTTCCCCTTTTTTTAACAGACCCCCGGGCCCTTTTTGGGGGTCTCATAAAACAACTTTGGCTTTTCCCGGGAGATGGGAAAGTCGCCAAGGATAGGCCCAACATTCCCCCCAACACCCCCTTGGGTTTGTTGCCCCGATTTAAAGGCCCAAACACTGGAGAAGCATTAATCATTATGGGTTTCGGGAAACACGAAGTAAAAAGTATAATGTTATTCCCCAAGTAAAAACCCATGGAAATTTTTTCATGGAAACCCTTTTTTGAAAACCCTACAGTCAAGTACCCAGTGTAATATTTGGGACTGGGAAATAAATTTTATGCAAAGGAAAAAGAATATTTTAAAATTCCCCCCCATAGGCTTCCCAAAAAAACTGATGAAATTCAAGGGAAATATTTTCTAAAGGGAAAAATTCCTTCTCTGACAAGTGACAAATTTTGCTCCAGTACTCAAAGGTATTTACTTTTGTTGGGGTTTTGAGTTTTCCCGAAGGGAAAAAAAGGGGCTTTCCCCAAAAATAAGGGGCCATACCTTTTTCTAAATTCTCAGGGGGCATGTTACTAGGGATATTAGAGATTTTTCCCATTGGGGTTTAGGTTTTTTGGGGGGAGGGTTTGGGAAATTTTAAAATGACCCACTTTATTACACTGAAGAGACCCACAGGCTTGCCCTTTTACTCCCCATTTACGTTGCAAGTGGTGTCGTTCTGGCTGGTGCCTCTTCTGGATATTGTTGCGAGATGCTCCATAAGTATTTTTTCCTCCCGCAGGGGACCATATTTTTTGAGAAGCGTGGGTTCAAAAAGGTGACTTGGTTTTGGGTGACGTAAAAGCTCTCCCCCCGGCTGGCACTTTATTCCCAAAGTTGTCGATCTCTGCTCACGCCAACTGTTTAAAAAAGAGAGACGGACCCCTCGGACAAGGCGGTTTGTTTTGAAAGGTATCAACCAACCTGGGCCCCCCTCCAAAGCAGGGGGTTTTAAATCACGATCCCTTTCAGAAAAACACGAACCTCTGGTCCCAAAAAGACTCCAAAAGGGGTTTTCAATCAGAAAAAGCCCCACCAGCTCCTAAAGTTAGAGACACCACTCCTTTTAAAACCACTTGGTAAAAAAGCTTTTTGGGTTTTCTGTCTCACAAAATCCAAACCCGGGGTTGACCAAGCTGCCGCCCGTTCAATTTGAAGGGCTTTAAAAGATATTTTTGCTGGGATACATGTATATGGGCCCCCAAAACTGTGGTCTTTTTCTACTTGATAAACAAGAAAATTTAGCGTCCCGTTTTAAAACCCCACGTAAATTCCTGTGGGCCCTTTCCCCAAAAAATGCTTAAAGAACCAACGCTGCCCAGTGCTGTTTTCCCGGGCCCCCTCAAGGCTCGAGCCTGAAATTTTTGAAACTTTCAAAAAATTTCTCTGGGTTTGGCCCCATTGGGAAACGGGGAAAAAAGCCTTTTACGCTTTTTGTAAAATAAATTTGAACAGAAGCGAAAACTGCCCCTTTCCCCCTTTCCCCCATCAAATTCTTCCCTTGGGGAATGCTTTTCTGTTCCCTAGTTTGCTCAAGAATTTATTTTTGGGCCAGCTGAAGTGCCCAAAGACGCTGATTTACCCTGAACAACCCAGTGCACTATACTGACCATTTTTTCTCCGTAGGTGTACCCTCTTCCCCCTGCGAGAACATGGGAGTTTTTTTCCCAGCCTTTCCCCTAGAGGGGGGAGTCGATGTGCCATCTTTCTTCAAAAAAAGTTTTGTAAACAAAAAGTGAAAGCAGTTGCGCAGCTGTAAGAGTGCTTTTTTAGGGAATGCCAAAGGAACGAGCAATTTCCAAAAACGCTGTAGGGACAATTTAGTAGTTTATCAAATAAAAAGCCGACACCAAAGGGGCTGACTCGTCTAGGTGGCTTAAAATTTTTTCGCAAAGCACAGTAAAGAATACCCCAACGGTTTTAAAAAAAATTTAAATTTTCAGAAAAAAACGCTTTGCTATGCACAGTAAAAGATTGGGAGAATATCCCATTCAAGCAAAAACCGACCCGCAAAACAAGGGTTGACCCTTTCGAAGCGGCAAAACCCGAACAAGCTAGTAGCGAGCTGTTTTAACGATCACACAATAGCAAGGCTGATCATAACGACGACAAACCCAAAAATTTTTAAAAGCAAGCGAAACCGCCAAGCTACACAATGTTTTCCCGGGTACAAGCTTTTACCCTAAAACTCAACCGTTTTTCCCAAAAATCCCAAACTCTCGGACAGGCTACCCATATTTCAACCTAGGGTTTCAAAAGGCCTGTTTAAACCCCGGTGTAATGGGAGCAAAAAAAAACACAGTAGAAAAAGTTTGACCCCATAAGGTTTCCCTTTAAAACCCCCAAAAAAAACAGCAAAAATGTACAATATGAAAAGTGATAAATATATTTCACTCCCCGTAAACAAGGGAGAAAAAAGAAGGGCCCAAGGGTAGCAGACCGTGCTTCAACCCGCTCAGAGTGGGGGAAAGACCCGGGAAAAACAGGGGAGCGGATCCACATAACCTCTGCCCATTGTCAAAACCCACCTTCTTATTGGCAGAACCTGGTCACTAGTTGAACCCATGGGGGGCCCCCTCATTTAAATCTTAGCAAACCCGGTTTTGCTGGGTTTGGGGGGATAGCCTGTAAATGAGGGGGGGTCCATGCGCCGAATAAAGGTTACTTAATCTTTTTATGCCACAACCCCCTGGGTGGTTGCTGTCTACCAAACCCACTTCCCCACAGGGTGGTAGTATCTCTGGGGGGTTTTTTGTTACCAAACCCACTACCACAGGACGGTAGTACCCCCTGGGTTTGGGGTTTTTTTCTACCAAAATAATACCCCCAAATGGGAGTACCCCCCTGGGTTTTTGTTTTTCTACCAACCCCAAATACCACAGGAGGTAACCTCCCCGGGTTGTTTTCTGTCTTTTACCAAACCTACTACCCCACGATTTGGGAGTACCCTTTCCCCGGGGGGTTGCTGTCCCACCAAAACCCACTAAACCACAAAGGAAAGGGGAGGGACCTCCATGGGGGGTTGTTTTTTCAAACCCAAACCCCTACCAAAAGGAAAGGTATTAAACCCCCCTGGGTGGTTTTCTGTCTAACCAAACCCACTACCAAAAAGGAAAAAGGAACCTCCCTGGGGGTTCTGTTTTACCAACCTACTACCACAGGATTGGGAGTACCTTTCCCCGGGTGGGTTTCTGTCTGGCCCCCCCCACTACCACAGGATGGGTAGTACCCCTCCCTGGGTGGTTGCTTTTCTACCAACCTACTACCCCAGGATTGGGGAAATAAACCCCCCTGGGTGGTTGTTGTCTACCAACCTCCCACCACAGGGGGTAGTAAACCCCCCTGGGTGGTTGTTGTCCTTTAAACCCAACCAAATACCACAGGGGGTAGTACCTCCCTGGGGAGGTTTGTAACCCACCAACCTAAATACCACAGGATGGGGAGTAAACCTTTTCCCGGGTGGGTTGCTGTCTGGGCCCAACCCCACCCACCACAGGGCCCGGGAGTACGTCCCTGGGGGGTTGTTTTCTACCAACCTACAAACCCCAGGTGGTAATTTCCTCCCTGGGGGGGTTATTTTCTACCAACCTACTAACCCCCAGGAAAGGTAGTTACCCCCCCCCCGGGGGGTTGTTGCCCACCAACCTTACACCACAGGATTTGGGATACCTCCCGGGGGGTTGCTTTTTGCCAAACCCACTTTCCACAGGAATTTGGGAAATACCCGTCCCCGGGTGGGTTTCTGCTAAACCAAAACCCACTACCACAGGAAAGGTATAAAACCCCCCTGGGGGTTTTTTGCTACCAAACCACTACCCAGTGGCAGTACCTCCCGGGTGGTTGGGTGCTGCCAACCTACTACCACAGGATGGTTTGTACCCCTTTCCCGGGTGGTTGGTTTTCTTCCCCAAACCCACTACCACAGGGTGTATACCTCCCTGGGGGGGGGGTTGTTTTTCCCACCAACCCCACTACAACAGGGTGGTAGTACCTCCCTGGGGGGTTGTTTTCTACCAACCTACTAAACCCCAGGATGGTAGTACCTTTCCCCGGGTGGTTGTTGTCTAACCAACCTACTTTTCCCCAGGATGGGGAACCCCCCCTGGGTGGTTGTTTTTCTACCCCCTACTACCACAGGATGGTAGTACCTCCCCGGGGATTTTTTTGGCTACCAACCCAAATACCACAGGGTTTTGGGAGTAAACCCTTTCCCCGGGGGGTTGTTTCTACCAACCTACTACCACAGGATGGTTTGTACCTCCCTGGGTGGTTTTTTGTCTACCAACCTACTACCACAGGGTGGTAGAAACCCCCCCTGGGGGGTTGTTTTCTACCAAAACCCACTGCCCCAGGAAGGTATACCTCCCTGGGTGGTTGTTGCCCACCAACCTACTACCACAAGATGGTAGTACCTCCCTGGGTGGTTGCTGTCTGCCAACCTACTGCACTTTATAATATACGCACAGAAGGATATCCAATAAATCCTTGAGCTGTATAGTCACTGATGCACAGAATTAATGTTTCAGATGGGCCGCCGGTGATTAAGGAGCATCCTAGCAACGTGGTTGCACGTCGCAATGACCCAGTCACACTCAACTGCGCAGCTTCAGGTGCCACCAGCATCAGATGGTTCCGTGACGGCAAGGAGGTCATTACATCTACACAAGACCCTCGTTCTCACCGTGTTCTACTGCCTGCTGGCTCGCTTTTCTTCCTCCATGTCACCTCCACCAGGAAGGACAGTGATACTGGCACATATTGGTGTGTAGCTTCCAATATTTATGGCGCTACACGCTCCCAGAATGCCACCTTGACTGTGGCAATGCTTGCATATGAATTCCAAAGCCAGGCAGAACCTTTGGTGAAGGCCCGCATTGGAGACTCTGTCTCCTTACATTGTCAGCCACCAGCGGGCACTCCTTCACCAGAGGTGACATGGCTGAAGGATGGTCGCCAGATGAGTAACTCCAGCCGCATCAGTATCACCCAGATACTGGTCATCAACCAGGCCATCCAGGAAGACTCATCAACCTACACTTGTCGTGCCCGTAATGCTGCTGGAACAAGAGAATCTTCACCGACCCAACTAATTGTGATGAGTAAGTATTTACATGACTCACGAAATCGTAATGACACGATTGCAAACAAACCATACCACGGACGGGGATAGAACCCGCGATCAGAGAGTCTCAAAACTCCAGACCGTCGCGTTAGCCACTGGACCAGCTAGCCAAAATAAGATTCATCCAACTAGGGGAGATGAGCTAGAGTTCATCACGGCCACGCTAGCTGGAGATTCGTCTGTAAAAACTTGCATTTGTGGTCACAGAGGTGCCTGTGCTAACCTTCCTATGGTGTAGAAATATACCTAGGTGGATGAATCTTATTGTGGCTAGCTGGTCCAGTGGCTAACGCGACGGTCTGGAATTTTGAGACTCTCTGATCGCGGGTTCTATCCCCGTCCATGGTATGGTAAGTATTTACATTTTCTTTTGTGGTGTAATTCTGTGCATTACTGTATTTATTCCTTGTCAGTTTCTTAGCATATGCTTACATTATATTTCTGTTACTTTCAAGGAACCTGTAAATATGGATTTATACAGCCATGTTGACTGCATTATCTCGTATTAATAACGATAATTATCCTCAGCTCCGCCTAGATTTGAGGAGAGACCAGCCAACGTTACAAGTCCATCAGGAGTGCTAGTGGAGTTGAAGTGTAGAGCTCAAGCAACTCCCGCTCCTACAGTGACCTGGCGCAGGTTAGATGGGAAGATGCCTCTGGGTCGTGTCAGGATAGAGGAACAGCATCAACGCTTGGTGTTGGAACATGTGACAGTAGATGAATCTGGTATTTATGTGTGTGAGGTGGAGAATGAAGCAGGTATCGCCATAGCACAGGCCACTGTTAAAATCGTCGATGCCCCTGAGTTGGCAGATTCACTGCAGAACTTTCAGGTTATGGTTGGAGAGGAGGTAACGATTTCATGTAATGTTAAGGGTGAGCCTCAACCCCTGGTACTGTGGCACCTCCCCACGTTAGATAGAACAGCTCTTCTAACTCTGGGTCAGACCAAGGGCCATTCTTCTGTGTCTGATGATGGTCGCTTTCTGATGCTAAGGAATTCAGCTAAAGAGGATAGTGGCACATATTACTGCTGGGGTGTGAATAGTGGCGGGGGTGTAAAAGGACAGGCAGAAGTGACAGTTGTGTCAGCGCTTCCACCACCAGTAATGGGCATCAAACCCAAAGATCTTACAGCTGCTTCAGGAGATATTGCTTCTTTCCCTTGTGAGGTAGTGAGCGAGGCAGCTGAAGCCACCATCTCCTGGTGGTACAGTCCATCTGTTCACCTGCTTCCCCGTCAACTCTCCAAAGACTCTGTTGATCCTAGGATATCGCTTCCAGACAATGGTGCTCTTATTCTCAAGAACGTGAATCTAGATGATGCAGGCATCTATACCTGTCGTGCAACTGCAGTTACTGGCACTGTGGAGCAGGCAGCAGTACTGCGAGTAGAGCGTTATGGTAAAGCAAGTGAGCCCCTGTTGCTGCCAGCACCTCCCACCAAGCCACGTATTATAGCAACGAACCAAACATCTGTGCAATTGAGCTGGCTTCCCAACTCTCAAGTGAGCGTAGAGTCAGGTCAGTGGTACACCGTGGAGTACTGGAGACCGGGTTGGGATGAATGGCGTGTGGCTGATGCTGCTATGATGCCAGAGTCGTGTATTATAAGTCACCTCACACCAGGACACACCTACACCTTCTTGGTTCGTGCTGTCAACAGTAAAGGGGCGTCATTTCCGAGCCCCTGGTCAGACCCAGTGACCACCAACCTTCCTCGTGACCCTAACCTCACAGTGGAACAGGTGCGACAGGCTCGCCGACGCCTCTCTCGCCCCATCGTCACTCTCATTAATGCTACAATCACTGCCCCAGAGAGTGTGCTACTCAACTATGAATTCCTGACCACGGCAGATGAGTCCGTGGAAGGAGTGTTGGTGTACACAGTAGCTAAAGTGGGTACAGTGCAAGTAGCTACTGTCCTGGGCACCTCATCTACTTCCCACCTCTTGCATCATCTTCATCCCAACACTCCCTACACCTTCTTTATCGTCCCTTTCTGGCACAGCATCGAGGGAACTCCCAGCAACTCTCACTCACTTACCACGCCAGAAGATGGTAAGTTCTTATATTTTACTAATTATTATTTCACTCTGCTTCTGAAACTGGATTAAACTCTTCTCTAGAAGAGATTTACTTCTCAGTAGGTTAAGTATTCCCATGATAGCAACTTAATCGTGGTAAAGGTTAAGTTGCTCTCCCATATAACAAACTTGACTGAAAGCTTGGAACTCCTTACCTTATCCTTTTCAACCAAAACAGTTGGGAAATTACCTCTTTCACCAAAATTTGCTTCAAGAATTATTTGGTATCTAAATCACTCCTGGTGTGGTAAACTCTCGCAGCTGTGAACTTTGTATATGAAGGCAGTTTGCAAGCCTACAGTAGTAAAGTTTCCCCCCCGGTGGCTGCCACACCACGATGAAGATACAAGCCTACAGTAGTAAAGTTTCCCCCCCGGTGGCTGCCACACCACAATGAAGATACAAGCCTACAGTAGTAAAGTTTCCCCCCCGGTGGCTGCCACACCACGATGAAGATACAAGCCTACAGTAGTAAAGTTTCCCCCCCGGTGGCTGCCACACCACGATGAAGATACAAGCCTACAGTAGTAAAGTTTCCCCCCCGGTGGCTGCCACACCACAATGAAGATACAAGCCTACAGTAGTAAA